ATACATAATGTATATATATTATGTGCGTCCACGATAACGCAAAAAGTGACTGCCAAGGACTTGTGTCACGTTCAGTTAGTGTAATCTCCTACGAAATAGTGCTGTATTTGGTAATCGTTACTAGGCTCTTTGGGTGTTCGCCTGCACCGAGTGATGGCTGGTGCCCACAAGCCATACTCATATGTTTTCCGAGTTGTTGCTGATTTTTTTTGCAGAGTTGGCATTCAGCTGCACGCTAAGGCAACCCTGTTTGGCGCGCTGTTGTTGTTGTGGTCCCTTGTAACTTAAGATTTGTTGTGCAAGCATACTAACCACAGTCGGGTTGAACGTTCTTGTAACTTCACCACAGTCGGGTTGAACGTTCTTGTAACTTCACCACAGTCGGATTAAATGTTCTTGTGACTTAATATCTGTCGTGCAAGCATACTAACCACAGTCGGGTTGAACGTTCTTGTAACTTCACCACAGTCGGGTTGAACGTTCTTGTAACTTCACCACAGTCGGGTTGAACGTTCTTGTAACTTCACCACAGTCGGATTGAACGTTCTTGTGACTTAATATCTGTCGTGCAAGCATACCAACCACAGTCGGATTGAACGTTCTTGTGACTTAATATCTGTCGTGCAAGCCTACCAACCACAGTCGGATTGAACGCTCTTGTAACTTCACCACAGTCGGGTTGAACGTTCTTGCAACTTCACCACAGTCGGATTGAACGTTCTTGTGACTTAATATCTGTCGTGCAAGCATACCAACCACAGTCGGGTTGAACGTTCTTGTAACTTGTAGGTATCAGCGGTAAGCTCGTGATCTGTGAAATGTGCCCCAAAGTGTTCCACTTCAACTGCGTCAACCCGCCGTTGCATGAAGAGGACGACGACGACGACGACGAGAAGTGGTACTGCGCCAACTGCAAGACGGCCAAGGTATGTGGCTCATAACTCTGACTTGACTGTTTAGTATCCTTCACGTATACGCGCTGTCGCAGTGTGGGGGTTACCACGAGCCTGTACAATAATACGAAGGATGTAGTTGTGACTATCTGCCATACCGCACGTATTCGAGCTAGGATCACTCTCCTATACATCTGGGCGAAGAAACCTTCCTTTTTCACACCTCTGCTGCCCTCTGTGGTGTACAGTCATAGTATGCAATACAAATACACACTGCTGATATATAAATTTAGTTTTACACAGAACTTAGTCCGATTTTTACAGCGCCAGACTATGCGGATAGGGTTAGGGCTTAGGGTTTAAGTATATGTTTGGCGACTACACCATATACAACACAGCCGAACGCAAGTACCCTATCGAAGTACGTGCGGTCAGTGCATAAGCTCTGGCAATGAAAGTTCAGAACTACAATGTTCCCCCTGTCCTGTCCTGTCCTGTCCTGTCGCTATTAGGACATCAAAGCCACATGGGAAAGGTTTCCGAGGATACACCAGATACTGAAGAAGGGCCAAGCCAATGTGTTCGCTCAACTACTGCAATATGGCCTTAAGTGCAACCCAATGGAGTACAACTTCTTGCCCCCGCGCCGGCCCCCATGGGGACCCTTTCCGTCGGAATCGTATGTGACTACTGCGAGGATCACTCTCTGAGTTCTAACGAATTCAATGCAACAGAGCGTGCACTACTCGTGTCCTGCTGAATTGTATTTAGTCGATGTGTGCTTTAACATTTATTTAGTGCTTGGTGTCGTGTCATACATCACGTCCCTGTGGACTAGATGTACCATGGGCATCTACAATACACACATGAATCGTGGATTGATATCACGTAACACTTGCGTAGTAATAAATCAGTCGCTAAGCTCAGTACATAGTGACTGATAACGCTGGTAGATGGATAGAAGCTACCACCACTGCAGCTATCCATTAACAGGCTCATGGTACACTCGTACAGTTAAGATAGCAATCAGTATGTGCGCATATTTATGCATACACACTTTTGTACTTTGTCGCATGTTAGTATTCCCTATATAATATGGGTCATTCCCACCACATTTCCGATGAGCTCCTCTCGGTCTTTGGGCATGAATCCATTTCGTGGGATAGTGTGTAACTTTCCGTGTGACTATGTACTGCTTTTTCCGGAACCAGGCATCCACTGTGGCACTTACTATGTGGCGTATTGCTGATGAAGTAAGCTTTTCTTGGTGTGTATAATGGAGTGTATGGTAACAAAGAGCCCACTTCCTCTAAGCTAGGACTGTTGCATACCTCTGTAGTTGAATTGGGGCTCAGTGTGGCCTGTTCCTAACCCTATTCTGTGTTTCGATTACACAGGCCTCCTCCCGTAGAATTGCCACGGGAGAAGAAGGCAGCACAACACACCAACAAGACAACTCAGGTATGCAAATTTTTCTCGTCAAAGTAACTAGATATTGCGTTATGATTGCATATAAGTTTGCAGAAGTATGATGTATGATATGTACAAAACTAGATCACGAATGGAAGTATTTCCAAGGCTGTGTCTATGGCCTTGAGCTTGATATAGCTGCAAGTGGTTTTGACGTTTATTGCGAGCAGATGTGCTCGCAGCTGAAGGCTCGGAAGTTGATTTCTGAGGAATACGGAATACTAAATTGAGGTACACACTTCGACATCACATTCCGGGCAAGGAGGAAGGTGTAGAATGGTCTTTCACGCATATTATCAAATTATGCAAATTACTAGCTTGCAATTACTGACTCGTCCTACCACCATCGGATTGGGCTGAGCTCAGTATTAGCTTGTGGACATGCAGTGGTGCTCGGCGTCATTGGTTTGCCTTGTGATTTCTTTTTGGTTTGGTGCTTCGCTTCGGATTATGATGTGTGATGTGATATTTGATGCGGTGTCTGGTTGTTACGACAGCATTAGCGTTCGATTGGACAAAAGCATTTACAGAGTAGTCACACCATCCCTCCCACCTCATGCATACTTTTGTGTGTATCTAGTAGTAGTTGCATGATATCAAAACACGAGATAGGTCAGTCCCGTTACTTGCTTCCGCATGCCATAAACGTTACAATCTTATGCACGCAGCTAAAGCGAACTTATACGTTTTTTACAGCCTGCTGAAGGCAAAGTGAAGGCGAAAGGCCAGTCCCACCCCAAACGAGCCAGGACCGATGGGGCGGCTAAGAGACCATATCGAAGCAAAGCCCAGAAATTAGGCCCAAATACAGGCCCCTCGGATAGTACGAAACAGAGACGGGGGCCCGGTCCTATGAGTGACCCGTCCAATGGCACGGAATCGCCAGACGCACAAGTGCAGCGGATAGTACAGAACAGTGTCTACCGCGCAGAAGCCAGGGGCAAAGCCAACCCTGCCAAGCCTAAGCACAGGAGAGGGACCAGCGCAAAGGGCCGGGCAACCCCAGCGGAAGGGTTAGAGGGATTGCGCATGACTGAGCCGATTGGCACACAGGAAGACTTTGTGCAGGTGTGTATGGACTCCACTCGCAGCGTGCATGCTAGAAGGAAGCGCACGGCCAAGAAAACCACACAGCAGGCGGATGAGGATGCGCACCTGGCAGAGGCCTACGAACAGCATGTGCGTGAGGTGAAGGAGGGGGCCACGGCACTCATGGCGGCCGCAAAGCTACTGGTATGTGTCCGGGTGGGATGAGGTTGTGAAGCGGCAAATGAGCGGTATGGGGTCTGTTTGTGGTTGTGAAGTGGCAAATGAGCGGTATGGGGTCTGTGTGTGGTTGGAAGTGGGGTTTTGATTGGGTTGTAGATTCGGTCTCTATATTGTGCTGTGATGTGTTGTGATATAACATTGAATACAGTCCATGTTCTAACCACACCCGTCGCATTTTTTATAGTGTTTAGTATTTTGCCCATTGTGCATAATGGTGCTCGACTGTGAGAGTTACTTTATCTCAACGGATGGGAGTGTGTGCCTGAAGTGTATGTCCGTTCATCATCCACTCTAGTGCCCATATTATCGGTACGTATTAATTTTTATGTGTGAGGTTGTAGCGGGGCGTATCGTGAGTATTTCTGCTAGCTCAGTGTTATAACACACTCAGGCTTGTACGCGATAAAGGTGTCTATGATTTCTTTTCCGTCGGTTTGTTTATCAATCTGGAGATCAGGCGTGTGATACTAGTCAAAGCATCTATTGATGCACATGCGGCCTATTATTCAAGCTGGTTAGAATACTTCTATTTGAATATATCTACTAGCTGAATGTGTGATTGAATATTCTATTTGAATATATCTACTAGCTGAATGTGTGATTGAATATTGATTGAATTTTAATTGCCGATTCGGCATCTCACTATACCTAAGCTGATACATCACCATGTGCCGATTACACGCGAAATGTATTGCAGCAAAGATTGATAGAGAGAACTGGAACACTTTTTACCTAGCGATATTTCTCTTTATGAACTTTTTATGCTCGCAGGAAACCACCAAGGCACAAAAGGCTCTTGCCGCACTACCTTCAGATGTGATCGCGTTGTTCAAAGAGTTCCGTGACTCTCGAACTCAGTCACAATGAATACGGCGTCGATTTCAGACGGTCACAAACACGCACACACAAGATACCTATACGCAGTATCCACCACACACCCTACCCTGAAGCTTTAGCAAATCGAACACGTAGCAATCTGAATCCATGCAGCTGCAGACCATGCATGCGTTTTTATTGTGCTGGTGTGGCTCCTGGAGGGCCAATTGTGTTCATGCACACACTCTGACGTCTATGCACAGAAGTGTTGAAGGTACCCATGAATCTAACCTTCGCATATGGATGCCAAATACGCAGTCTGTGGATGTCGAGCATAGAGTACTCCCTGTGCCTTTTAAACAGTATCCACTGACTGTCCTTTAGAGTTGGCACAGTTGTATGCGTTTCATGTACTCTTCATTGTATGGGCTGAGCGGTGCCTTACAAATACGCAGTCTGTGGATGTCGAGCATAGAGTACTCCCTGTGCCTTTTAAACAGTATCCACTGACTGTCCTTTAGAGTCGGCACAGTTGTATGCGCTACATGTACTCTTCATTGTATGGGCTGAGCGGTGCCTTAGTGCATGACGTTACAAATGCATCGAACACTGGTGGATGGTCTGGAGGTGCTCAGAGTAATTGGCATTCGCCCTCTCGTGATGCTGCAGTGCCGTGGTGGTACTGGATTCGGTAGAATAGCCGCAGCAAAGTTCGGCACTTGTATGTGAACAGCATCCTCTCGGACACTGACCGCTACGTCGATTACGGTCGGAATACACTCGATAGTAACGGGTAGATCGTCTTTAGAGACCATCAGCGTGACAATGTGTGATATTAGGTCCCTATATATCCTCATGTAGTGTATCCAGGAGTCCAGGACTCGCCAGGCATTGCACATCACTTTAGCATCCCACACGGCCACCCAGCAGCGCGGTGACTGAGTGCGTAACGATTTGTGCGGGTGAATTGCCTTCAGTGCATCTCCGTGTCGGAATCAAACGGTGTTGCGCTAAATACACACATGTTGTGATAGTACAAGACTGGGCCGTTGTGTGACTCACTGATACACAGCCCTTATAACCACGCACGCGCTAACCAATATACAACACGTGCCCTCCCGGCACTTTGTATAAGCAGCCACAACACCAAACGAGTGCGTTCAAAGACAGGCAACAGTCTCCATTGTAGACTAAAATCAGCGCTGCTCAATGTGGGGGTGTATATGCTGTCGTCGATTCGTTAGAAACAAGCATTCTATTATGGGACGTGCTGAGTCGGAGTCGTTTGTTGTGACACACGGCGCTTTTGAGGAGACCGAACACAATCTATACCAATACAACGTCAATCCATTGAAGCTGGTTCTGTGACGAACAACCATACACACGTGATATGCCGTAAACCAGAACTCATGGATGAGGTCGACTTTGTACGAACGTGTACATTGCGTGTCCGGTTTCTCAGTTGGTCGAGGCTGTTGGCACAAGTTGCTACATAGCACCTCCTGGGTCAAGCTTGGCAAATGAGTGATCGGTATAGGCCAATGTCACACGGACGAACTCGTATCCGAAGTGGACCACCTGGCTCGTGCGAACCCCTTTGTGAGAACAAAGTTCGCTCAGGTCTACTACTAGACGGAGCCTCTGGAAGCAACTGTTTCGTAAGCAGTCACCAATAGAGGGTTTCCGCATAAAAGGAATAGAAGTTGTCACTCGGAAGTTTTCTTGTGTGCCTTCCATTTCTTTCCACAGTACATTATCAGACCTTGCCATTTACAAATGTATCAGACCTTGCCATTTACAAATGAATTGTACATTCAGCCATTCTAATTCTCAGACGAAGTGATGTCAAGAGTATATGAGTTGTTGCGGCCAGTCGTGCATTTTACATGGGTATATTTATGCGAGTACGAGAAATCACACAAAAAACAGTGCACTGCAAGAAAAAACATATAAACATGCAAAATTTGACGCAAGCTTCCATATTTTCCTACTCAAACAGCTCATATATCATTGTCGCGGCGGCTAGAGTTAGATCAGATTAGATAGTCGGTGTGAGTGATAGAGCCAGCCTGCAGTGTTTCACAACTATTAACTAAAATTCACCTACTCTGACAAATTCTATTATAAAATTTTATCTAATCTAAAGAAAGGAATGCTGAGTAAACTTCAAACCCGCCTCTGTGGCTGCAAAGCGCGGAGCCTCGCCAGTGTTTCATATCTGTTTTTTTCATAAAGAGGTAAAAATCAATCTTTGAGAACATACTTTTATAATCGATGATCGTGCTCGTCACCTAGATATATTCTTCTCAGTCTTCGTTACACACGTGGTACTATCAATAGACTATTACAATGGCTTGCTCATTCTAGTGCCCACTGTGATGCCATTTATAGAAATATATATA